CTAAAGCATATAACACTGTGTGGGCAGTATTTAATTTTTATTGGAGGCTGGACCTAAGACAGATTGGTCTTATGAAAGAGCACCCCTTGAGCCAGGATGATTTGAAATACATAAATAATTAGAAGCTGTTTATAAGCATGCAAGAATGTATATTGTGAAATTGTAACCCTTTATATTCATTTATGTAAATAAATGCATTGACATGATCATTGGCATCAGGGCAACAGCCCTACTCCCTTCCAGTCTTATATGTGTTTCTTTAGTAACTAAAATAAGTCAGTGTGCATATATTGTTGACCATGGGTACAGTTTAACATGGCAGTCTGAGCACACTTGTGCATGATGGTTACACCTCAGGTGTTGGTACCATGAAGCCAGTAGGCTGCATGTCAGTCCCAGAGACTCAAATGTGGATCTGACCACTGTTGCCCCCCCCCCCAGCATACCACACTAAGGAATTTTAAAGAAGGTTTTTGAGGAAAAAATGGTCCAAAGTCCTCCTGTTTTCTCTGTAAGTGTGACTGGCAGTTTTGTCATGTTTTTAGGATGCCCCACTAGCCCTGGTAATTGATTCATCAAGCATCCATGTGGAATGATGAACTGCCCACAATACCCTCAAACCATCTTCAAGCAGGCCTGGATGAACAGTTTAAATCTCCTCGTAAACGAGGTGCACAGGAGAGGATCATATCCTTGTTCATGTGCTGGTGGGGTTTTTGCCAGTGAATGGTAGGGTTAGGAAATGGATGAGGATGGTATGTTTCAATCTCTGCATTGGGGAAACCTTTACAAGTAATTCCCTTTCATTAGAACCAGACAACAACCTTTTGTCCAAATGTTTTAGTGTAGCTCAAAATGTACAGTATCAGACTTTTTATATGTTTTCATTGTGGAACTTAGATTTTTTTCAGTATCAGTATTTGCTTTAAGCCATGCTCTAAAGGTTTATAAACACCAATATTGCTAAAAAGAATAAAATAAAAAGAATGGAAAGGAAAAAATGAAAATGAAACAAACAAATCAGAAGTGGAAGTGGCCAAAAGTGCACTTCAGATTTTATAAAATGGATATTTTCCAGTGTGAAAAAACTGTAAAGAAATTCCATTGCCTGTTTAAAAAGAGAATCCATACCCCACCCCCCGAAAGGCCTGTATTTTTCGGTAGTGGGGAATGGGAGAAAGGTGAGGCCAAAAAAATAGACTTGGCAGCCACACTTGATCCATCAATGCTTTAAGCCAGTCTCTCTCTTTCTGAGTGCCATTTCAGTTAGTGAAGTTAGCTATCATTATGTCATATTTCCACCTGTCTCTTGATGTGTGGATTAGTTGTTCTTTATTAAGGCCCAGTTAGTCTGTGATATTAAGCTTCCAAGAAATCCGCCTTCTACCTCTTCCATGTTTAGTCTCAATCTTCCCTTCAGTGATGTATTCCCGTATATTTATCATGATGAATTAGGAGTGCAAGATATTAGAACTTACGTTTTTTTTAAATTTAATTCAACACTATTTCTTTTTGCTTTTCTAACTGATGAAGTACCTCGTTGTCACGACCCCCATGTGGCTCCTGCTTGTTTCATCAAACTAACAGCTCACGCTATGTGCCCCTCAGCTGCCACCAGTTGATTTCATCAACAACACCATTATTAATAATCGAGGTCCAGGCCATATGTTACTTTAAAAGAACCAAATAGAAACTGTTTATTGTTACAGTTGTTGATAGAATAAGCAATGTTGTTAACTCTTAAACAAACATTCTCCTTTATCTCTCTCAACCACCATTCTCCCGCCCAGGCTCCAAAACTTTCTCAACTCTCAATCTCCTCATCTCTCTAACTCTCTCAAAATTCCCTTTCTATTTTCCCCTCCTTCTGAGTCTCTTATATCTAGTGACTCCACCCCCAGCACTCCCATTTGTCTATGCAGATAGCATATGAATATGCATGACCTGGGCAGATGCCACACTCTTCATTCTTTATCGGTCTATGGGATGCGAAGAATTTTTCTGTATGACCACATTTCAAAAGCATTTGTTCTGTTGAGCATCTCCTTCTTAATAGACTAAATCTTACATCCACATTGGAGGGTTGACCATCTGTAACCAGATAGGACATACTCAGTCTCAAATATATTTTAATCTGTTTGTTACACATTTTCTTCAGCTTTCTAAAATTAATAATGATAATAATGATAATAATGTTAATAATAATAATATGCCACATTTCTTCCAAGAAGGGACACAAAGCAGCTCACAACATTAAAATTCGCACGAAGGGACACAAAGCAGCACAAAACATTAAAATTCGCACAATTAAAAACACAATAAGTTAAATATTAAAAGATAAGCAATATATGATTTAAAATACAATTAAAAGATTGAAACATGAAAAAGATTAAAATTATCTGCTAAAATAGGTTTCACGGATTCAGTTATAGTTGTTAAAAGCCTGCCTGAGGACATGGGGGCTTTTTTTGTTTGTTTGAAAGGATAAAAGGGAAGGGGCCATCCTGATCTCCCGAGGGAGAGAGTACCATGACCTGGGAGCTGCCACAGAGAAGACCCTCTTCCGTGTCCCCATCAGCTGTGCTTGTGCTGGCAGTGGGACTGAGAGGAGGGCCTCCTCTGCTAATCTCAATCGCCAAGAAGGTGCTTATAGGGAGATACAGTCCTTCAGGTAGCCTGGACCCAAGCTGTATAGGTAATGACCAATACTTTGAACTGGGCCCAGAAATGGACTGGTAGCCAGTGCATTTCTTGTAACAGATGCATCATATGCTCCCTGTAGTTAGCCCCAGTCAGTAGTCTGGGTGCAAAGTTTTGCACCAACTGAAGTTTCCGAACCATCTTCAAAGGCAGCCCCACATTAATGTGTTACAGTAATCCAGACAGGATGTAACTAAGGCATTTGTCACTGTAGCCAAATCTGACATCTCCTTTCCATATGATAGAATTTTTATTCTTTAAATTTAAATTCTTAAATTAAAATAAATTTTATTCTTTAAATTTGCCAGATAAAACTCAACTATATGAAATTATAATGGGTTTCTTAGCTAGCTAGGTGGGTAACAGACTGCAGTGCAAGTGAGTCACAGGCAGTCTTTTCTTAGGAGATTTCCAGCTCACAATGCAAGTGAAGTTTGATATGGCAGACTTTGTTTGGGAAAGAAAGGTTCTGACTACTGAAAATGAATTTTAAGTCTTGGGTGAGGAACGGTATCTGTACCTTCATATGATCTATCTTGCTACTGTTAACCTCTAATTTCTCTAAATTTTAAGGGTTCAGAGCGTCTGATAATGAATGTTACGACTGCATCCATTAGGTATTTGTAGGAAAGGTTCCTCAGACGTGCTTGGTGGTAAATGAAAACAAGCACTAAGTAAATGGATTTACCTCCTTGTCTTGTAGCAGATTTAGGACTTTGTAACTGTTTTCAATTTATTTCCAGTTACTGTTTAGAAAATTATAGATTAACATATCTAACTGAATGTTAATAGTCAACACAAATGAATTCAGTTACTGGTTGGTCTTGCTAATCTGAAAGAATGTAATTTTAAAATTAGGCTACCCTTGTGTTGCTTTCCATTCAAGTGCTTATCTACTTTCTCCTACACATTCATTAATACAGTATTTGTATAAAATAGTGTATTCACATGAGACCTGTTCAGGCATTACAGAATTCAGTTTCTTGAGGAAGGTTAGATGTGAGAAGCTAGCCCCATCGTTTTCTCATTATGAAGTCATAAGTGTTCATTTGGAGAAGTGACTTGGAAATTGGCAAGGCTCGGTGCTCTCCTTCAGGAATATTCAAGAAATTGCCGTTTGTATTGCCTAGACTAGAGGGCTTTGGTGCTACTGTGTACCACCTCTCTATTACATAGGGTTGTATTTTTTTTCGGATGTTAAAAAAACTAATTAAATCCATGGACAGTTTTAGTATCGTTATTATAACTACTCTGTGGTATTTCCCTGACCGCTGATGAAACACCATTGAGCTTTAGAACTAATAAATAGTAGGCAAGATTGAGCACAGGTTACTGCGGGAAAGGGAAGGGATCTCGGAATTTGAAAAATATTCAAAATAGGGCTTATTTATTCAAAGGAAGCCAAGATTTCACTTTAAAAAAGAATCCTCCTACAGAATGTATACTTCAAAATCAGTGAAAGCAGACTTATTCCAGTTTGTAGCTACACTAATTCTAATATTGGAAACATATAAAGGGGAGATGATTTCAGGATTCTTGTTCATACCAATCAGCATTCTGGTTTGGAAGTCCCTACTCCCAAGGGTGGGGCTTGGGAGGGGCTGCCTCAGGGCTCTTTGTATAGTGGATGAGGAATCACTACTGGCTGACTTGGCCTGAGGGGTAGGAAGTCTACCTCCTTTTCTTTACATATTAGTTAGAACCCGATAGGGACGTGGTGGCACTGCGGGCTAAACCGCAGAAGCCTGTGCTGCAGGGTCAGAAGACCAAGCAGTTGTAAGATTGAATCCACGCGACGGAGGGAGCGCCCGTCGCTTGTCCCAGCTCCTGCCAACCTAACGGTTCGAAAGCATGCAAATGCAAGTAGATAAATGGGGACCACTTCGGTGGGAAGGTAACAGCGTTCCGTGTCTAAGTCGCACTTGGCCATGTGACCATGGAAGATTGTCTTTGGACAAAATGCTGGCTGTATGGCTGGACAAAAATTGTCAAGGGGAACCTTAACCTTTACCTTAGAACCTGATAGAGTACGAAAAGGCTGTAAGGTTTGCTAGAACATACTGTAGTTAACTTAGAGGAGGGAAGGTGTGTGGTACTCTGAACTGAGGGACTTGTCGCCTTTTTGTATAAGAATACCTTTTGACAAAGAATTAAGGGGAAACCCTTCCTGTGTGCCATCAATATTTTCTGTCAATTGATACTTGTAATTTTAATGTATGTTTATACTTTATAACAGATTTATGTTATGAACATTCATAAGTAATTTCTTTTTTTCTAAACTGGCCCTGTTTTAACTGCAGGTGGTTCTGTGAAGGGAAAGAACTACAAAATTCTCCAGATATTCAGATCTGTTCTGCAAGTGGAGGACTCCATAAATTGATCATAGCAGAAGCATTTGAGGACGATACAGGGCGCTACTGTTGCCTGGCTTCAAATACCCTTGGCTCTGATTCTACTTCAGCAGAATTATTTGTTGAAGGTAAGAAAGCATAGCTACATATAGATAGATAGATGGGAAATGAAGGAGCAGAATATCATACATTAGATTTCTTGCTTCCAGGAGATTTATAGCTCTGTTCCTGACTTTGTACAAGGACTAGGATACAATGCCTGTATTTGTGCGTACCTACATAGGGTATCTGGAATGACAGCCTATTGTGCTACTTCTGATTCTGTCTAACTTAAATTGTCTGGGGTTTTTTTTTGTTCATCACTTCTGTAAAACTCCAATGTCTGGAGCAGACACTTTAAAGAGTTGAAATGGTTCTGTAAATCTTAAATGGAATGATTGTCAAGTTTGTAAGCATAGAAAGTATTGCTCTTATTAAAATGTTGTTTTGATGTGTTGCGCATATCCAGAACAGTGTTTACTGTATCTAAATATGCTGTTTTCTACTCATCACAGGTGCCAGCTCCTCAGACTCTGACAGTGACATTTCCAGATCAAAATCTGGAGCCATGCCACAGTACGTTTACATAGCAAAACCAATTTATATATTGTGTTTCTAGGACACTCTGGAAAGATAATTGCAAAGTTGTTCTGCTTCACCTGTTCCTCCTGGGGGGACTCCATGGGGACACAGCAGAGATTATCCAGGGTTAATTAACAATCAGGTTATGTTATAACACAGTATTGAACCCTGAACATGAGGCACTGTGGGTATGGATTCTCATTCAGAGTTTCCTTTTAGAAAGTCTGTTCTGGGTGGGCTTTCAAATTCAGAGTGGATTTGTGTTAAGGGAATAGTTAAGCATTCTTTCAACCAGTTGTGTCTGCGTTATTTTTGCTATTTGTTTTCACTTTTGTCTTAAGTCTGCCATTCTGCTAGATCTGCTAGAAATAGACACACACCAACTTGCAAGCATATAGTGAGAGGTAAGAATCAGATTTTCAGACTTCCAAGACTCCCAGGCCCATAATTTGACAGGAATCTATAGACAGAATTATGGGACCAGTAACCCCTCACCTCCATGCTGTTCCCTCACCACACCTTTGAACTGTGAAAAAGAATGCCTTGCTATACCATGAAAATTGTGAGGATTCCCTGTGACTCAGAGGGGTGCACAGGGGTATGAGTTCCAATTGAGGTTATTTCCATATAAAGTGCAATAGCCAAATTATGGGTCTGGGAGTCCTTGAATTCTGTACATCCCACCCATAGCGAGAGTTAAAGGTTTAACTCCTTTGTTTCCTTTTTATAACTGAATGTATATGTATTAAGATGAGTTATACCAAATTCTTATGGCAATAGCTCTGCCACCGATGTGAACAGAAGATGTAGTCCAACATATTTGGAAGCCAGAGTTGTCTGGAATAGGTTTTTTAATCTATGAATCCACTCAGTAAGAGCCTGTAGGTGGAAAGCTAACTTTTTTTGTCTCTCTTTTTTTTTTAACTGAATATTTTGTCAGGGCCCAGAAGAAAAGTACTTCTGTTTCTTTAACAATAGGACCTTCTGCTCCAAAGGCTGGGATCACAACAGCAGTAATCCAACCTATCTCTGTGCCTAATCCACAGGTATGTAGATGTCACATTTTATGGCATCAAAAGTTTCCTCATGTTCTCAGAATTACATGTCAAATTAATATACAAATAAAATGAAGTACATTCTTTCCATGTTGGGTGCTTAAGTGCTGCTGAACTATACCACTAGAGTTCTCTAGCAGAGAATTCTAAATGTACTGTGTTGTCATTATGTGGTGTCAAGTTGCATCTGATTTTTTTAAAGATATATGAGGTCTGTAAGGAATAGTTTTATTAGTGTCACCCTCCTAGTGAGTTTCCATGGCTAAACGGGGTTGTTGCCCAGGTCTCTGGAGTTCTCTTCAGTCACTCTATCCACTGCATCACCAAATACCTCACCAATATCTTCTACAACTATGTGAGATAGAACCATGACAGTTAAAGTGACATCAGACTGCTGCAAATGTGTAGTGTAGATACATTCTTACTCCTACATAACCGTACAAAAGATTGCAGCATAAAGAGGTGGTGTGGGTCCCAGAGTCCTTGAAGAAGTTTATAGTTTGTTTTTTTCTGGACAGTGAGTTCAGTTCACTGGCTCTGCCATGGAAACCACTGGGCAGGGTAGGTGGAACTCATAAAACCACTTCTTAAATATCAAATTTACCTTGAAAGTCCTATTAAGATTGCTGTAATTCAGTTCTGACTTGATGTCACATTACTTTTCTGGACAAGTCCTCTCCAGATCTATTCCATCAGGACACATGTAGGTCTTAAATTCATCATACATGAACAATAAAGTATGCATAATAACAATAGCATCACTATAAGCTCCAGCTGTTTACTGAAAAATAAGATGCTGCACTTTCATTAATTTTCCAAAATGTTAAATGTTTATCCTCCAAAATCCTCTTGCTTGCCATAGAGTTCTCCCTATAATACCAAACCGAACCTTTCTGTCTTGTCTCAGTCTGCTTTTCCACAGACAAATGGCCAGCACTATTCATTCCCCACCTCTTACCCATAGGCTACAAAGGTTTGCATATTGCATATTGATGCATGCTTCTGAGTTAAGTGGAATAGAGATGGAGCAATTGGAGGCCTTTGCACACAGCCACTTGCAGTTTTATCCCTTTTGCTTCAGTAATGGTGACACTTCCTGAATGATTTCAGTAATTTGTGTGGAATGGTATGGGATTACCATAAACTGCACAGCACTGCATAAAAGGCCCAGTAACCTCCAGGGACACTATATTCTGGTGACTTTACCCCTCCTCACAAGCTTGCCCGTTAGTGACTTTCATTCCCTTCAGTTTCTGGTATGCACTACTGAATACATTCCTGCATGTATTCCTCTGGGTGTATATTCTTCCATACTGTTTTCTCTTGTGCTTTTCTTCATTGTCATTTCCCGTTAAAAGCCTGTTCAGAAGCTCTGATCACTGTGCTTTCTGCGGCTTTGATTGTAATTTTTCTGCCCAGTACTTCTTGAGTCTCAGTGCTTCAAGTGCTTCATGCAGTACTTGGAGGCTCATTAGCAGCATTGGAATGGCAGTAGCATATGCCTTTTTTTTCACAGTTTTGATTATGTCCAAAGTTTCAGACTCCTTTCTCGTAGCAATATTTGTCTTCCTGTCACTAAAAGACAATACAGGTGTACGTGGGAACTTTTGCTATCTGGAGAGAAGCGCATGATGTAGCCCCTCCTGTCTTGCCATGATAATGCCAGTAGAGTCATCAAGGCCTGATATTTCAATTTGTCTCTGATATGTCCCTCTTACCAGAAATCTTACCATTTGTATTTGTACAGTACCCAACACACTATTGCTATGGGGTGTTAAATAGCAGTATCTACAATCAATTAAGTTGCTAACTTGCAGAGTGCAAAGTCAATACCTTTCATAGGTTTCATTGCAAGGCTGCTCCAAATACATTCAGTTTTACTTAACATTGTTACCGCAAATTGCCAGCATTGAAGAAAAATCCAGAAGAAAATTTTGCATGTGGAACACTAAAAACAACAACAACGATGATGATGGTGGTGGTGGTGGTGGTGGTGGTGGTGATAATGATGTGCCATCAAGTCAATCCTGACTTATAGCAAACCGTTTCAGGGTTTTGCAGGTAAAGAATACAGAAGAGTGATTTACAGTTCCCTTCTTTTACAGACACCGTGGGACTGTGTAGTTTGCCCAAGGCTACACAGGCTAGCTCCACTCATAGAAGGCATAGTGGGAAATTGAACTCCCATCCTCCGCCTCTGCAATCAAACTCATTGAGCTGTCCAGCCAAAAACAATTTTAAGAAGATGACTAGAATAGGAGATATGTTTTATTGTGCTGGTGCTCAGTATGTTGGCCACCAGGTAGTTGGATTGTATCTTCCACCAGCCTTAGCTGGCATAGCCCACAGTGAGAACTGATGAGAGTTTCACGTAGCAAAATACAAGGATGGCCACACAATCCCCATCAGTAATTTATTGGTAGATAAAAATATAGGTGGGTTAGACAGTATTGTTGTAGGCATTTTATATCTAAAGGTACTGATACGTTTTGCAAATGTTGGTTTTAACTGTTTTCCAGGTCCAAAGTCCTACTTCATACCTCTGCAGATTAGATGGCTCAAAACCTACCCATGCTGCACCTATTTTTACAAAGGTTTGATTTGTTCACTTGGAATTCTAGCTCTCTTCTGAATTATCCTGATATTACTGAGGATTTCTTAAAGTACATGAATCATTTACATTTGTCAAAAGTGTCAGATTGGTATGAATTCTTTTTTTGTATACATAGGAATGGAATTTAGGAATACATAGACTGCAGTAACTGCTCTCTGTCACATTATGTAAGAGTCAGCGTTATAACACTCATTTCTCTTTCATCAGCCATCATACTGAAGTATCACTATGAGTATTTTCCAATCTTTTTCAGTTTTCCAGCTGATTATTTTGACATGTTTTAAAAAAAGTAACATGATAGTGACAGCAAACAGTTGCACCCTAACAAATGCTTCTGAGGTTCAAACGTCAATTTGCTGGTAGACGGGCACCATGCTATTAAAAATGAATTCCTTTTTCTTCATTTCTTAATATTCAGTCAAAAGAAGACTTCTTTTCCAGTGAACATAGCTCTGGTTCTGAGTTGGCATATGATCCAATAAAGTAGCCCTTCAGAACATTTACCCCTTTCTATAACTCATCTAGTCAGTTTGCTTCAGCATGTCAGTTTTTCTCTTTTGACACCTGGCAAAAACAACCTCCTGTTGCAGGAGTGGACTACTTCCAGAGATCCTGGGGCTGTTCACACCCCCTTTTGAATCCTCCCCACTCCTAATATTTTACTTTCTTTTAAAGAAAAGATCCCTTTGCACTTCCTATAGCAAAAAAAGTAAAATAATAATAATAAAACAGAAAAAATGCAATAAACTACAATGACTGAAATCCTGTAGCTTTAACTTAACTCTGTGTAAGCCTGATGATGGGTTTTCATGGCACCAAAAACATGGCAGGATTGCTTCATGAGCACCCTTGAGACCCCCACCTCCCATTATTATTAAGGATAAGAGGACTTTTGGGGGGTTTATTTTATACATGAAAACATTTTAGGGATGTTGTGAGGGCATGGGGGGGTTGCAGAGGGGCAGCATCTGAGCCACAGAGAGCATGTGGCCCACAGGCTACTCTACTCTTTTGTATGATCTCCTTTTATCTTCCAATAACTCTCAGTTTCTTGTCCAGTGGCTGTAAATAGAAGCTGAAATGTTGTAATGAATTTATGTGGGATACATCTAAAATACAGAAAAGACTGATATTAATGGTCCGCTTTTGTTTATGAGATACAGACCAGCATAAACCTAAAACTCCATAACTGGTGTGCATGAGCCTTCCAGCATAGCCTCAGATATAACCAGGCTATGTACTTGATTGCACACTCAGCTATATGCTTGGTCTTATGACAGAGGGTTAAAAAACTTGCACAGTTTCCCCTTACATGTTCTAGATTCTCGCCAGTATCAAAGGTTTTGAAATATTGGAACTATTCCACCACATTTAAACAACAAACCCCCAAGCCATGTTTGGTAGAGATTGGAGATGGGCACAAACCACCCGTTAGGTGCGGTTCATTTACTGGCTAAACAGCTGATGTGTGGTTTGGTGCCCTGCCCCGTCTGGCAGGCACCCACTTCATCATGAATGAAGGAGAGGATTCTTATTTTCCAAAAATTGCCACCACTGGTAAAGTAATCAATTTCCAAAAAATTGTGTCATGAGCCTTAAGTGGTGTAATATCTGGGAACTGGATTTTAGTCACTGAATCATTATCGTCACTGTCAAATGGATGATAAGGACTTGCACTTCCAGCCCAATCAAGAAGACCAGGGCACAACCCTCTTGGTAGTTGTCTTGTGCAAATGCTAATGAAGTTAATATCACTGTTGTGCAACTTTCACAGTATTTCCCAACCTGGGAGTCCTGACCCTCCAAGGGGGTCACAGTGTGCTTTGAGGTGGGGTCACAGTTTGCCTTTTATGTGTTGTAATTTCTTCCTTGAACTTTTGAAGGCAGTTAGCAAGTATGTGTATGTATGAGAGACAGGAGAAAGAAGCCTCTACTTTCTGAGAAGGGATGAGTTTACCTCATTGAAAATGCCTTTTTATGCAAACATGGCAGTGGGGGGTTGTAGGTTACGTAGCAATCATAAAAGGGGGCACAACTCAAAAAATGTTGGGAACCACTTTTCTAGTTGGTGGATGTAGTCAAAGTGTCATCATAACTTTCATTGCACACATATGATGCCTAAGTTGGCATGAAACTTACTGAAAGCTGTGTTGGCCTGCTGAAAGCTAACATATCAAAAAAAATGTGTAAAACATGTTTTATAGATTAGAGAAGGACTCTTCTGCTGAGAGCATAGATGTAATTTCAGAATTAGTTTTATTCCACCATTTAAGTTACAAAAATTATGGAAAAGGAGTATGCATTATTGTTCTTAGACAGTTACATAGTTGTTTACATGTGTTCAGATAATGTGTGTGTTGAACTAATTTGTTTGCTTGAACTTCCAGGAGCTACAAAATTCAACAGCAACTGAAGGACAAGTAGTTGTTCTTGAGTGTAGGGTGAGGGGAGCTCCTCCAGTACATGTCCTTTGGTTTCGGCAAGGGGTTGAAATTCAAGATTCCCCAGACTTCCGAATTCTTCAAAAAAGTAAGTGAGAGACCAGCTCTGTTTATATATCCTTGCAATATAAAGACAGAACTGGGAATATATACTGTGATATATTTTTAATGTACTGTGGAGTATTTTGTACTTTATATAAAGATTTTAAGTTGTTGCTAATTTTTATTTGCATTATATAAAGTATTATATTATTTGATTGTTGTGTTTGTTATGTATGTAATGGTATTGTGGTGTGGGCTGTTCTACGAGTTTTTTTCAGATAGAAGACCAACATATAAATTGAAATTAGAAATAACAAACTTAAAAAAATCAAATCAAATACTATATTGCCATGACTTCGTGCTCAAGTGATGAGCAGATACCTCTGTTGAGTGACCACTGATCTTGTTCTCTAATACTACTAATCCATACACACATATATATGTGTGTATGGATTAGTATTATTATATATGTGCTTTTTATGCTTTTTAATGAATTTAATAATACTAATCCATACAGACATATATATGTGTGTATTGATTAGTATTATTATACTGTATATGTGCTTTTTATGCTTTTTAATGAATTTTGTTCTTTTCCTTTCTATTCCCTCTCCCCTGTTCTCCATCTGGGTGATGGGATAAGCAGAGCCCCGGTCTGCAGCTGAACCTGGTAAGCATCATGTGAAAGAATATTCTTTTTGTTCACTTACTCTTTGCGTTTGCATTGAAGCTAAATAGTGTAAGGTTTCTGCAAAGGAATGGTAACTCTAGACCCCCTTAGGAGCTAGTTGATTCTTTTATCACAAACTGCAGACCCTACTACCCTGTGTTTTATGTTACTTATGTGGTATGGCAGCAAATTTAACCTGCCCAGTGTGGGCTGTCCCAATGGATAGACTTCTTTAATTTTCAGAAAATGATTTTCTTAATTAATTTACAAGTTGCTTAATCTCTTCACACTTACATCGATGAAAATTTATGGTGTTTTTAGAGACCAGCATTTAATTCCTTGGATACCTTATAACTCAGGTAGAGCCATCTTTCGAAAAGCAACACAACATTCCTAGTTCAGCATTTTTCCTCGTAAGATTTTAGAATGAAGTATCTACCACAGAGATGGGCAAAGTTCATAACCCAAAGGCTGTTTTCATGCCCCCCAACTCTGTCAACCCTGCCTCCACTCATAGTCTTCCCAAGAAACAAAGTGTGGATTGCTGTGTCTGGAAGTGTCTGAGAACAGTGATTAATCATTTAAATAGGTTGCAGCTTTCTCCCTTGCAGCACTTAACAAAAGAACAACACTTTTAGAGTTTTTGTAGGGATTATATCTAGGATCCTGGGTGTGATGTAATGGTTAGAGTTATGGACTAGGACTCAGGAGGCCTGGGTCTGAATCCCCATTCAGCCATTCTAATATGTTAGTTCCTCTTTGTAAAATCTCTGTTGTAGTGATTAATTTATGTGGCTAATTTCCAGACTACTGTGACAGTTTCTCAGTAGGTTCTCGCTCAGAAGCTTATTTTGCAAGCTAGACTAAACTTTGTGTTTTATGTGGCTGTTATTAATACATTTCATGATTAGTATGGCTAATGAACATTATTTTCTTACATGGGCACTCTCATTTCTACTCCCAAGGACTTTTAAAATAATGTATTCATGTCAACCTCAAAATTACCTATCAAGACAATGAGATGTTTCTAGCTGGCTGTCTTCCTTTCCTTGTTGAGCTGCTCCATTTCGTTTAAACCCCTATCCACCCAAATGTTAAGTATTTCCATTTGGTCCTCTTCATCATTGGAGGGGGAGGGTCTCCTTGCCGTGGGACATCCTCTCTGAGCAACTTGGAACCCTAACTTTTCAGGGTCCCCAGTTGCATTGATAGGTTAATTGGATAGCTGAGCAAATTGAAGCACCTGGTTCTTATTTCTCACAAATGGAGAATAACAACAGAGGGGACAGGGCTGGCGCTTTCCCTTCCCACATATTCAGATTGACACTTCTGGAATGCTAGGATATATTTTATGTCTGCAAGCATCTCTTGTCGTGAAGTTACCGGTGGACTTTGTTTAGGAGGGATCATTTCAAAACACTGAGACAACTGTGAAGGGCAGGGGTTACTTGTCACCCCTTCTCGCTTGTCAAATGAACACAGTGCCGTAACAATGGAATATGTATATAGTGGTTTAACAAGGAACAAGAAAGAGCTTGAGAAGCAAATGATGAAATACAGTGGTGCCCTGCATAGTGACGACAATCCGTTCTGGAAAAATCGTCGCTATCCAGATTCGTCGCTATGCGAAAAGAAAAAGCCCATAGGAACGCATTAAACCCCGTTTAATGCGTTCCTATGGGCTTAAAAGTCACAGTTATGTGAAAATCCTCCATACGGCTGCCATTTTCGCTGCCCGGTATGCAAGGAATGGGTGCGAAACCACTGCGGGCGGCCATTTTTCCCAGCGGCCATTTTGGAACCGCCGATCAGCTGTTTTTGAAACATCGCTATGCAAAAATCGGTAAGCGAAACAGCTTACCGATCATCGCAAAGCGATGTTTTACCATTAAAAACATCGCAATTGGATCGCTTTTGCGATCGCAAAAAATCCGTTGCTATGCACATTCGTTGTTAACTGAGGCGCTCGTTAAGCGAGGCACCACTGTAGTCGTAGTGGTGCCCAGCAAATTGAGAGGTGATAGTAGAGTCAATTAGTGTCTTTCAGAATCTCTGTATTCCTCAGAAGAGCAAAAGCTTTTAGAGTCTGTGGGAGAACATATGACATAATATTAGCAACTCTTAGCTAGTAGCTCAGTCATTGTGATGCTTGCTGCCAAATGTCAGTATGTGGTAATGATGGTAGAGATACCAGTTGGTTTAGAGATGAGGGTAAACTGGCTCATCTCCCAGAATTTGCCTTCTAAATAAGGGCTTCAAAGGAATGACTAACCAAAATGTGGATGCTTAAAGTGGTGCTACATTTCATTTGCTGTGTTGCATTTTCCAAAATTTGATCTACAACTTCCAAAATTCTTAGCCAGGATGCTGCAGGGTTTTTTAATCCTTATTCCTCAGGTACTTTCTTTATAGTGTGCACTTTTAAAAAATACTGGTGTAATAAATATTTGCTTATTTATGTATTTATTATTTGAGTTTATATTTTGTACCATCTGGCAACCAGGCCACTCTGGATGGCTAACAACAATATAAGGAGAGAAAAAAAACCCCTTAAAAACACAATAAAAATAAGTTAATACATAGCAAATCAGAAATCTGGGAAAGCCTGGCAGAAGAGCCAGGTCTTCAATGCTCTTTTGAATCTGCCCAGCGAGGGTGCCAGGTGAATCTCAGTTGGCAGGTTATTCCATAGGACAGCACTTACCTGTTCATCTAATCCAAATAAATAAATAAATAAATAAATAAATAAATAAATAAATAAATAAATAAATAAATAAATAAATAAATAAAAGCAATAGTTGCTGCAGCTAACAGCTCATGTTCTTTGGGGTCAAGAGAAGAAAAGAACGTGCTTTGTGGATTTCAGGGAGCAGAGTTATTCTGAAACAGGTTTTTCTTGTCATTGCAAAGTTGAATCTGCTTAATGTATTTTACACTCCTTTCTCTGTCTAGACGGAAATCAGCCTATGTCACAAATCTCTTCAAACTGTTTTGAGAATTAATAGCCAGTCAAATTACTTAAGGCCAACATCACAGTTTGTCATATTACCTGCTCAGTACTACGTTATTTTGACATTTTGACTTTATGCTGATTGACTCCTTCAGAGATCAGTCTGTATTTAGGAAAAGGGAAAGAAACCTGTAGAATCATTTGCCAGCTGTTGATGCTTTAGCCATTACTCAGCTGTCTGGAAGCAGCCACAAAGGATATTGGATTTCTCTAAAACAATTGCCTACTGGTACATAAAAATACTATACTTTGGATTTATCTTGCCCTCATTTTTTTCTTGGTTTGTGATTAGGGAATTGCTAAACATAAAATCTTCACAATACATTTGAACTCATTGGGCATACATGTAGAAAAATCCTTTCTGAATGTTGTTTTTGGAAGATATTTCTGTTTGGGGGACATAGATTGTAAAGTATTGTATTATGCTATATTAAGCTGTGTTCCATTATGTAGGAAATGAGTCTGAAGCAATGTAAGACCCATAACATGAACAAAATTTGGGGGAAAATACTTATTTGGACTATAAGAATCCTCGAGACAGCTAAAATCCATGCTATCTGGAGAATTCTGGCTGTTAGTAGTGCAGGAAATAACTTTTCCAAATGCTATCTTATAATATAAAATGTGCTCTTCTTTCTTTTAATTATAGCAATCGTCTAGGTTTTGCTTAGTTCTGACATTATCATCACCAATCAGGAAGGAAGAAATTCTGGAATGGGGTGCATGCCAAGATGATATAGGGGCCGTCTTGTAACTCCTCCTTTGCCAGTTCTACTCTGTTTTTTAGTCAGAACTGTCCTCATGTGGCCCAGGACTTGATACAGTGGTGCCTCGCTTGAGGATAATCCATTCCAGCGAAATCGCTGTAGAGCGAAACCTCGTCGAGGGAAATAAAAAAAGCCCATTGAAATTCATTGAAAACTGGTTCAATGCATTCCAATGGGCGAAATACCTTAGCGTCCAGCGAAGATCCTCCATAGGGTGGCCATTTTCCAATGCCTGTGCAGCGAAAAATCTGTCCTGAACACAGCAGGGAGCCATTTTGAACAGCTGGCGGCCATATTGAAAACCCGTCGATCAGCTGTTTTGAGCGTCATAATGCGAAGAATCGGTTCCCGAAGCAGGGAACAGATCGTCATAAAGCGGATTTTGCCCATTAAAACATCGTTTTGCGATTGCAATAGCGATTGCATAAACATCGTCGTGAAGCGAATTCGTCGTCAAGCGGGGTAATTGTTAAGCAGGGCACCACTGTATTTTAGAAAAGAGCCAAGCCTAAATTATTCCTGTGCTACACAGGTTACACGAGAAAAGAGACTGCGGATAAATCAGATCAATAGACAAATATGAAATGCCACCAGAGCATAGAAAAATTTCTTTCTGAACTAGACTTCTCAGAATTCTCTACCCAACATGCTGGCATGGAGATTCTGGGAGCTGTACTTTGAAAAATAACTTCTTCAAGCTCTGAGTTTTCTTTGAATGGCTGTATTTGATGTTCACGAGTGTTAAGAAAGAGGAGCTAGTTACAGAATAGCACAAGCTAATGTAATGCAATGGAAACTTTATTGCAGAATGAACGGAAAGAAAATAATCCGTCTCCATATTTTGATCAAAGGTGACAGACTAGAGGACAGGAGTTAATTCTTAAATTTATTGTTCAGAAAAAGGCCAAGGAAAGCAAAGTAATGTTGGTAGATCAATGGCAATGTAAATCTTCCTTTATTGTTTCATCCTGATTATCGGCAGTTTTCCTTTTTTTTCCCCCCTTTCTTTTAACCACTGTATCTGCAATAGGCTGAAATTCTTATGATGTCATTTTTTTCTGCCTGTTCTCTTTTCCATGAACTATTATTTCTGCCGACCAATCTTTGTTTCTTTGGCTGCTTAAGAAAAAGCAGTCAAACTATAGTTCTGGGTCTTTCCTCCAGGAAGGGGAATAGTTCAGTTGATGGGTGAGGCCGAAGGACATGGTTGCTGTTCCATAAAG